ACGACATAAAGCACCTTCATACATATCTCCGCTACTCAAGTCCTCTCTTGTTCTCTTAGAGCCTATTCCAGCTAAATACTTTGTTTTTAGCTCCGATATTTCCCCTAATATGGCCCATAAGATCATTTTTGCTTTTGCCTTTGTCCTCCTACTGCTGTGTTCTTGTGGAATTGTCACGTTCACTGAGGGAAGACCTTTGAAAACCGTCATGGGGAAAAACCATGGAAAATATTTGCAACACGTGGTTTCAAAAGAAAGTGCTACTAATGAGTCTGGTACTGCTGCGGCCGGTCATGAAGATGATCGTATTTCCCACAATGTCACCGCCGATGCTGATGATTTCCGTCCTACGACTCCAGGACACAGCCCAGGTGCAGGTCATTCTGCTGGACTAACTAGTACTGGTGTGGTGTGCGTCATCAATTGACTTGACAACGTGCATGGACATATATGGTAGTTACATATATATATATATATATATATATTGCTGTGAAAATAATTAAGTAAGGTTTTAAACCAAGTCGCTTTCTTATGGTGAAAGTATATGATTAAGGGATGGGAAAAGATTGTACTATGCAACCCATAATTTAAAATAATAATAAGTCATTTAAGAAATATTTTAGTGGTTAAGAATTTAAATTTCAATATTAAAGATTTTGAATTCGAATCCTTAATAAGTGAAATGAGAATTTAAGAAGAAATAAATTATCTTTTATTATATAACTCATTATTTAATGTATTAAAATAATAATAATAAAGCTTTAATGTATGGGGTTTGATTTTCTTTCCTAACTAGGCTTATCATGATATATTAAGGGTGGTGTATAATTATCTATGTTTATGCCCTCGTCCTCCATGTATATGTGGAAGTCATTAATTTAGTCATATAATTAATGAACTATTTTCTGGATTTCTATTTCTTTGTATATTTTTTATTATTAAAACATAGTCTCAACCATACTCTGGCATTTCCCCCCAACAAAAATTGAAAAAGAAAAAAAAAAAGTTCGTTTTAAGGAGGAAAAAAGAAAATATATAGGGACACAATGAAAAGGTGAGGCAGGGAATCTTTGAGAGGGGACTGTAAAGGCATTCTTTCAGTTGTCTAGGAACAGAAGATGAAGATCCATCACAAATTACTATGGAATCAACGGGCCCATAACCTCTGCAATTTGGGTTGAAAATAAGTAAGGTTGAGGTTGTAGTTGTACTGGGCCGTGTTTCAGTTATTGTAAGTCATGTGCCCGGCCCCTAGCTACAACTACAAGACGAGGAAATAAATAGGCCTGAATTGATTGATTTTTTCTTTTGCAAGATTTTTTTTTTTTTTTGGCAATTTCTTGATTGATGTGATAATAGATTATTCTTGAGAATTATTGGATTTCTTTCCTATGATATTGTAACTTTATTAGAACGGATTCTAATTTTCCTTAAAAAAAAAAAAAAGAGGAAATCTTAAAAGGGATTCTATTGATAGATTTAAACAAATTCTCAATTTGTAATTTTTTTTTAGTACTTTTAATTTTACTAAGCTATACAATATAAAATAATTACTTCTTTCCAAATAATTCTTAATTTATTGCATGTTCAAAAAAAAAAATTCTTAATTTATTTATAAGATTCAACACAACTCTCCTATAAATATTTAACACTTATGTCTTGTTTTAAACTTAAGTGGTATTATAGGGACAAATTTTTTATATAATTTTTTTATACAACTTTCACATATCATTAACTGAGTGGATACATTTAATATCACGGATCCCACATAAATTAAAAGAATCAATCATTTAAATGATACATCAAGTTGTATAAAAATGTGAGACAAAAAAATTATATAAAAATTATTTCCATTTAAACTTTGAATAAATATTTTAATTTTTTTATAATGTATATGTCAGCATTCACACATTATATTAAATCTATATCTATAATTAGGTTAAAAACAAAATATTCATATTGAAACATATCAATTTTTCTTTAGTATTGTGAGCAAAATCTTGTACCACAACATCTTATAAAGTATTTGGTGGAATTTTTTTTTTTTTTTGAGTATTTAGCGTTGCAATCCTCACAAAAGTATATGACATAACTGGTAGACTACTAGCCAAATTTGTGCATAGGCAAATCCAAAGTTTCAAACAACTTTCAATATTATATATTTCAATTTCACACACGTTGTTTCCATTAATTTCTTTCTCGCTTCTTTTAAACTATATAACTTTTTTCTGGTGTGTAACTAACCATATAAATGATCAATTACATTCACCACCATTCATTACACTTATTATATAAATTTATGGATTTATATAAATTATTCAATTTTATAAAAACCTAGTAGTAATACCGAAAAATGTTTTTTTTTTTTTGAACTGCAACCGAACAAAAAAATTGTCACTTTTGAACATAAATTTATGGATTTATAAATTGTTTTTTTGTACGTGATTACAGTGATGAGCTTTAAAGTTTCAATTTTAATACTAGTACTTAAAATTTTGTTTTTTTAAATGCATTGGTCAAAGAACAATTTGACACTAAATAACAAAAAAAAAAAAAATTATCTAACTTATGTTTTAAAAGTATCTTAATGTATTTTTTTGCACATAAATTTACATAAAAATAAAATTGATATTATTTTTAACATTCATATTATATGAATATTTTTAAGAAGTTTGTAAAATTAACATCAACTTTCATTTTTTTTTTAATGTATTTCTTCTGTTTCATTTTATTATTTTGTTTTAAAAAGTTGTTTTTGTTTCATGTTATTTGACATTCTCACATTCTAAAGTATTTTTAATTTTTTTTTATTTTTCAAATTTACCCTCTTATAAATTTAGATAATAATCAAGAGTCTCTATTTTTAAAAAAATAAAAAAGGGTAAATAAATAAACTTAATACCAGATATTCCTATAATAAAAGCTATTAAATAAGTTTATTAATTAATATGTATAAAAAGATCTAAAACAACTAATAAAACAAAAATTACTACTACATTAAATAGATTTCTTATCCTGTATACACAAATTATATATATATATTTTATAAAAAGCATGCATTTTGGTTTTTCCTTCTGCTATTTTTAGCACTCCAAAATCTGAGAAAATATTTCAAGTGCGTGGAGAGATTAAATATGGCAGATGGCGGCGGATCAAGAGGAGGAACCACAAAACAGTATGACATGCATATCCCTTACCCCTTCATCGAAATTCAACGGTCTTGATTAATCCCCGCATTACAATCCAACGGCTTAAATGTTGACCGCGTTTAGAAGGCCCACCCATATAATCCTTCTTCATCTCCTCAACATAAAACCTCTCCTTGGACCCTAACCGTCTTCTTCCTTTTTCTCTTGTTCTCCGAACAACACGAACAAACTCTCTGCTTCACTCCTTCAAAAACTGAACTCAGATTCAATTCAAATTCATCCAATCCTCTTTGTGGGTTTTTTTTTTTTTACAAAAATAGTAAGCGGAGGAGATAAGGATGCAAACCGATGGTTCTGAATCGCAGCCGCAAAAGCCGCAGGAGCAGAGTCAACTGCAGCAGCAGCCGCCACAGCCACAGCCGCAGTGGATGGCGATGCAGTATCCTCCGGCGGCGGCGATGCTAATGCAGCACCAGATGATGCCATCTCAGCACTTCGTCCCGCCGCCACCTCACCACTACATGCCGTACACGCAGTACCAGCATCATCCCCGCCCCCACTTACAGCATCCTCAGCATCAGCAGCAGTCTCTGGGATCTATCGGCGAGAATAGGACAATTTGGGTTGGCGACTTGCATCACTGGATGGATGAGAGTTATCTCCATAGTTGCTTTGCTTCCACTGGAGAGGTCTAGGAAACCTACTTTTTATTTTTATATATAAGTGTATATGTATTTGCTTAGATGCTAAAGATACCATTTTGTATTTAGCTAGTTCTTGATTGGGGATTATGTTTACTTTGAGATAATTTTGTTTTTCCTGGATTTGTTTCTAGTGTTGGTGTTTGTTGAAGGTTCTAATTGGTTCTTTTTTCTTTTGGAGAAATTTGCCATAAAAATAGAGAGAATAAATAAATAAACTGTTTTGCTGTTGTTTAATTGGTAAATAGGACTGAATTTATTCTTCAATGGCTATGCAAATGTCAAATTGGTAGGATGAGTAAAGGAGAGCTTATTGAATTGTGAATGACTGCAATTCATTATCATAATTGTAGCTTTTCAGCACTGTCTGTCAATTCAAGACTGTTGAAATTTAAGCAAATGAAATGCTATGTTGTTTTTTATTCTTGAAAGAATATTTCTTTCTGTGGCCCATGTGGTACAGATGTATGTGCTTGCATATTTTTCATTATTGTCTATCAAAAATAGAATAAATAGATAGACTATTTCCTCTTGGCCAGGCATCTGTCAGGCTCTAGGACTAATGCTTGTTTGAACACTGTGGTCATATTGCGATGAGTTGCAACCGGTGATTCTGATGGAACTGGTTCCTCATCCTCTGAAAAATTGTTTCTTTCTGATCAATCTAGTCAGTTACAAACTTACAATACCCCTATTCCCTAATGTGTAAATGTGATACATTTTGCAGATTGCATCCATTAAGGTTATTCGCAATAAACATACTGGTTTGTCAGAAGGTTATGGCTTTGTGGAGTTTTTTACACATGCAACTGCTGAAAAAGTTTTGGAAAACTATAGTGGCATTTTGATGCCTAATACAGAACAACCCTTTCGCCTGAATTGGGCAAGTTTTAGCACAGCTGAAAAGCGTTCAGAAAATGGTCCCGATCTTTCTATCTTTGTTGGAGATTTAGCTGCAGATGTTACCGATAGTTTGTTGCACGAAACTTTTGCTAGTAAATATCCTTCTGTTAAAGCAGCAAAAGTTGTAATTGATGCCAATACTGGTCGATCAAAAGGCTATGGTTTTGTGAGGTTTGGAGATGACAATGAGAGGACACAGGCCATGACGGAAATGAATGGTGTATTCTGTTTAAGCAGGCCTATGCGCATTGGTGCTGCAACACCCAGGAAGTCGACTGGATATCAACAACACTATTCCTCACAAGGTACTTGGTTATTCTTTTACAATGCTTCTGTTTACCGATACTCCCAATTTGTTATCATTTGTTTAAGGACTTGTTATCATTTGTTTAAGGATCTGTAGCTAAGAAATATACTCACCCATCTTTCTTCTTGGACACTTTTTTCCCCTAAACAAATGTTTATTCTTCAGAATCTTCAACCCCTGCCTCTCTGTCCTGGACACCCTTTTTCTCATCTTGAGGATCCTTTGAAGTTGCCCATGTGTCCCATGTTGATAAATCTTGTTGGAAAAGATACTCACAAGTCACAACTGAAATCTTAGCTTGCCCTTTCCCTATGAAATACCTTGCCAGTGACTTCTGGTAAGATAAATTTGGCGTGGCTGCTTAAGTTGTTTAAAGTTTTTGTGTCCCCAGCTATTTGGTTTCCCTTTTTAGGCAATGGTTTTTTGGTATTACTACCTCTGTTTTTGTTGTGTGACTAAAGTAGGCAGAAAGTTCCCATATTCTATATTTATTCTGTTTTTACCTGTAATAGATTCTTCCATATACTTCACTGTTGTTTTGACCTCCATTTCGTTCAGAATGAGAGTATTCTCTTGAGTTTTCATGTTATTTCTATGCAGGTTAAAATAACAGTATTCTCTTGAGTTTTTACTGTTGCCTCTGTTTTTGTTGTGTGACTAAAGTAGGTAAAAAATTACTAAGTTCTATATTTATTCTGTTTTAACCTTTAATATATTCTCCTATGAATCACTGTTTTTTTTTTTTATCCTGCATTGCGTTCAGAATGAGAGTATTCTCTTTAGTTCTTATGTTCTTCTAAGTGACTTGCAGGGTTATCACCGTTAATAGTGACTTGTGAACTCCCTTTTTGGCCAACCCTTTGTCTTTCTACGTAAAGATGATTTTTTATTAAGATTGTTATCATTCGGTCATTGTTTTGCTCATTGTCATGTTTGTGCAGGTGGATACATGTCAAATGGTGCTTCAGCTCAATCTGATGCTGATTCCTCAAACACTACAGTGAGTGCTGCATCTCATTTCATTTTTAACGTTAGGAGCTCCAATATTTTCCTGCTAAATTCCTTTTGCTGTAGATATTCGTTGGAGGGCTTGATCCTAATGTTACTGATGAAGAGTTGAGGCAGCTTTTCTCTCAATATGGTGAAATCATCTCTGTCAAAATACCTGGTGGAAAAGGATGTGGGTTTGTACAATTTGCAAACAGGTAAAATCCGCTGCTTCCTTGTCATATGAAATATGTATATTAAGATTTTAGTTTATGTATGACCAAAAATAGGTTCTTGTTTATGAATTTCTGGAGTTATTCAATTTCTTTTCAACTTCACTAAAACTTCTGTTGAGTTTTGACAGGAAAAATGCTGAGGAGGCATTGGAGAAGTTGAATGGTGCAGTAATTGGCAAGCAGACAGTACGTCTTTCTTGGGGTCGCAATCCTTCAAATAAGCTGGTATTCTTCTCTCTTTGGATGATAAAACAGTTATTGTTCAACATCTTTTGAAATATTGTGTTTCTTTATCACCTTCTTACCTGTTCTCTGGGATACTTGCAGTTTAGAGCTGATTTTGGCAACCAGTGGGGTGGACCTTACCCTGGAGGGCAAGTATTTGATGGTTATGGATACGCATTGCCGCCACCTCATGACCCAAACGAATATGCAGCAGTGGCTGCAGCTTACGGTCCTTACCCTTTCTATGGCAGCCATCAACAACAAGTAAACTAATCTAATGGAAGGGGGGAACTTGTGGCCTCAAGTAACAACGAGTAACTCACACTAAGGAGGGCAAATCTGCCTCGTTAATTGTCACTACACAGCTCTCTTGGGTTGTATAGAATTGTTATAAATCCCTCCTAAAATGGAGTGGAACTGAATTTTGACTTCTGAAGTAGTCTCAAGGGAGATTGGATTCATTATTTGTTTTAAGTCATGTGGATTATAAATAAACTAGCTAATGGTTATGGGAACTTCTTCTTTTTTTTTTTTTTTTTTTTTTTTTTTTTTGAATATAGGCAATGGAGTTATGGGAACGTCTGGTCTCACTAATGTTTGTGGTAGATTGCTTTGTGTAATAACCTTATAATATTCATTATTCCTATTAGATTTGGTTCCTTTCCATCTTCATATTATCCTTTTTTTTCATCAAGTTTGGACATTACATGACACTTCCAAATATTTAACTTAATGCTGATCGCATTTTCCTACACTACTTTATTACACTTTTTAAATGATATAGTAGTATACAGTTTTATTTTATATATTTTTTTTTTATTTTTTTATTTTGATTACATAATAAGAAATAATTATTTTTTATTTTATATTCTATTTTATTTGCATATCATGTGACTTGAATTTATAATTTATTACTTTTAACAAAAAAATTATTATTTAATTATTTAAATTGTTGATTATATTATATATTAAATGATACAATAGTATACAGTTTATATTAGTTACGCTTAATTTGGGATAAAAAATTCAGCATTCGTTTCTTTTAGGGTGTGCAAATAATCACCACCGTGAGTGCAATCATGACGGATTTATGTAACCCTACGGTGAAGCGAGTGGCTACCATTAACTCCACAAAGCATGGGCGGCGGGTTCCATCATCTTCGGATTTTCCTCATTGCCTTTGAATGGGTTGTTACTCTTAGTTTATGTGGGAATTTTTTAATAAAAATAAAAAATTTTAAATTTAAATCATATTATCTATATAAATAAAATGATAATTTTATGGTTATAAATATAATGTAAAATAATAA